CATGAGCTTGCCAATATAGCAGCACGAACTATTTCCTTTTAAAACAATTAATCTCTAAGTGTCCGTTTGATTGTAAATGTGAACTTTGGATAAAAAAACGAATTCCAAAGAATTGAATTAATGGGAAATTATTTTTCTAAGAATTGTAAATTATTGTGTTTGATTGGTATAATTTTTCACGTGAAAAATGTTTAAATTAAAGTATTTTTTGGTGTCTGTTTGGCTTTATTTTACATGAAAATTATCAATTAAAGGGATATAATTAATTGGTATTGGGAATGAAATTTGTTTCCATTGCCAAAACCAAAAAATAAAAAATAAAAAAATTTAAGAAAATCATCCATCTTTGAGTGTTCGTTTGACTTTATTTTACATGAAAGTTGTTGATTAAAGGGAAATATTTTTTTACAGTAAATCTTAGAATTTGTTTCACTGCAAATTTTAAAAAAATGAAAAAAAAAGTGCTACAGTAAACCGGAAAACCAATTCTCACCATATCAAAACAAAGAAAATTTCAATTCCCAAGAAAAGTTAGAAAATGTAATTCCATGGAAAAAAATGGTATCAAACACCCTTAAAACTTAATGTTGGAATTGAATTTTCACTTTTCCTAAAAAATTTTGGGCAATCAAACGGTGCCTAACAATAGATTTACTAAAGCCCTTAACCATAGTGTAGTTAGGATTGGTTTCACATAAAGATATGTTTTAGATCTCACATTAAAACTCCTCATATTTATTGTAATACATTAAGACGTACCATCTCAAGTTTAGAAGATTTCTAAAACCAACTGAGTTCGCACCATTAACTTTAGTAATTGTTAAAAAGAGAAGGATGTTGATAATTAGCCCTTGTTTGATTTAGATAAAAATTAAACTTTTAATAAATTTTCAACAAAAATGAGTGAAATGTATAGTTAAAAAGTTATAAATCCCAAAAATATAAAATTTATTTTTTGATTTTGACTTAGATTTTAATTCAAATTTTTAGTTGAGCCAAAATTTGCTACATGCAATTATGCCATGTTTGAACCTCATTTTTGTCATAAAATATATTTTTGAATAGTATATTGATGTAAAATGTATGATTAAAAAATAAGGAAAGGTTGTTCCTCGGGACATAGCTCAGTGGTGCAAAGGACAGGAGTGAAGTTATTTCACGTCTTGTTGGCAGCCGCAGTGTGAGGATCTGATTCTTGAGAGATGGAATTTGACTCTTTGTAAGCGTAGTGTATAGACAATTCTTGTTCCTTGGTCTATTGGGGCACATCCCACGATTTACCTCCCTCACAAAGTTTTAAAGACAGGGCGATAGGGGGCCCTCAAGGTTGGGGTTCAACTTTTTTTTTTTTTTTAAATAAGGAAAAGTTTTGAATTTGTGAATAATATTATTTTATTAAATAATATATGATTGAAATAATATCTAAACACTGTCTGTTTAAAAATGTATTTTTCTCCAAAAAATGAAGCTCAAACAAGAGCTATAATTACTCTAGTCCTGAGTCTAGGGTTGAATCCATTGGTTAGAGAAGATACGTTTTCTGTCCGTTGTACAGTGTCTGTACACAATGATCTTGTTGCAATTGTCTGCTACTCAAAAAACAAAGTACACATAGTTGGCCACAACCTTCCCGCCTTTAAAACCCACTCTCTCCTCTACAAATACTCAGAACACAGGCATCAGCTGGGAATTGAGATGAAGCCTGCATGGCTGAAAGGGCTAATGGAGGAGAAATTCTTCGAGCAGTGTGGGATTCACCAGAATCACAGAAAGAACGAAAAGAACATTTTCTGCTTGAATTGTTGCAGAAGCTTTTGCCCTCACTGCCTGCCTTCTCATTCCCCCTCTCATCCTTTACTCCAGGTTCAATCTATCACCTTCTTCACATTTTTCAATATTTCTGTTTTCATGTAGAATTTCTTTTACATAATTTATGTATATTTTGATAAAGCTATGCATATAATTAGTGATAGAATACCAAAATAACATAAAACTCTTACTCCCTCGGTCCCAATTATACATGCTCTTTTCATTTTTCACAAGAATTAAGAAATCTTCTTTAATGTATTTCAAAAATTAATTTTTGTCACAATCTTTTTTAGTTTACCCTATTTATTTTTCAGTAGTATCCAATAAATTATTGTTGGAAATAGTAAAAAATTTGAATGATTTAATTTGAAGAAGTATCGAGAGTTGTTCTATGTTTTCAATAAATGAAAAATGTGTGAATTTAGATGATTTTAGAAAATTGACATATTAAATTTGAAAAATTGAATAAGAGTATATTAGTATGTAAAGAAACAAAACAAAATATTTTAAATTAGAAAACAATCCTAAATATTTGGGATAAGAGAAAAAAAATGAATTTCATTCTATATAATTGGGACGAATGGAGTATATATTATTGGTTGAACATCTGAATAAAATGTTTAGGCTCGTTTTTATTCACATTTTTGAGCCCCTGTTTGGCCTCTATTAAATTCAATTACGTTACATTATATTTTATTCTCTTTTATTTTTAATCATACAATTTTTTATAAAATAATATTATACGTAAATCAAAATTTTTTTTTTTAACCACTCATTTTTCAAAAAAAATAATATTCCACCAATTTTCATTATCAAGAAATGGAGGCCAAAAGGGGCTGAATTTTAACTTGTAAATAGTTGTACTGCAGTTGTAGCTTTTGAGCACAGTTTGACCCCAATCGTCAAATGGTGCAGGCTGCTGCCCTATTTTGTCTTTGTTCAGAATTAGTACTGACCAATCGTTTCATGGTTCACTCTCCAGGGTCAGTTTATGCGTAACTCACCGATTTGCACTAAAAAAACCAATTTATTTGGGTAACATTAAATGAGATGTCCTTTATAATTTAGCGCTCGTTTCACTCTTATTAAATTTCATTCCATTTATATTTTATTTTTCTTTTATATATTTTTAATTAAATAATTTTTAATAAATAATATTACACGTAAATCGAAAAATTTTCATTATCTTTCAAACATTGATTTAAAAAAAATAAAAAATTATTCTACACATTTTCATTTCCAAAAAATGGGGGCGAAATGAGAGCTTAATAGAATAAAGTCACTTATCCAAGCTTAAATACAGGGGAAATGAAAAGACAGATTGATGTGTCAGAAAATAATTGAATGTTGTTTTAATTTTTCAAATTGTCCAATTATGCGTTGATACTTGTGCCTTCCACATTTGAGCTTGGATGTATAGCAAGACTGAAATGACGACATTTAATGACACTATTGAAATGCTAAACTACAAAGAATTAGTCATGGTTATTTAGGTTTATTATTTGCATTTTACAAGAATTAATATCGTGTGATAGAATTTTTACTCTCTTGAATTTCTTGTACGACAATTTACACACGAAATCCATCAATTTTTGTCAAATAATTAGATTGAAAGATGAAAAAAGACATGGGAACTTTATATATCATTAACCTTGTCATACTGGCGTACAGGTTAGGAGGTACGTTTATCACGATGTTATTAGATTGGACGATCTTGAAAAACTCATCAACTGTTGTTACATTCAGGTACCACTCGACCTAAATTTGTTTAGATGAAAGTAATGTCATCACATAGTCTAAATCTTTTCATTATATCAAATCTATAATAACACTAATTAGAAGTTTTTATCTGTTAATGCAGCCCTACACAATAAATAGTGCAAAAGTTATATTCTTGAATCAGAGAGCTCAATCTAGATCTTGCAAGGGTTCTGGCAATACTTGTTTCACATGTGACAGAATTCTTCAAGAGCCATTTAACTTCTGTTCTCTCTCATGCAAGGTCCAAGTACATTTCCATTTCGCCTTTCGATCAGAACTCCTAGAGCTCTCAATTGGGAATCGATTATAAATTATTATCGAGCCATTTTTCTTTTGCAATTTCTTATAAATTAAAATTATTGAAATGCATGCAGGTGGATCATATGACTTGTCAAGGGGAAGATTTGTCAAGCATATTATTTAGGTTTGATGAATCTGATTTCACTATCGAGGGGCTTCACATTGATGCCTTAGACGACGCTCAAATGACACCCGACTCCTTTTTAGAGGACCCAATATTGGAAGAATATAGAGAGTCATCGCATACTAGTTATGGCATAGGCAATTCTGCAATCTTCAAGGAAACAGAAGCCGAGAAAAGGAAGGGAAAAGGCGGGTTCCTCCCTGGTATTATGCTCTCCTTGAGCAATAGGAGAAAGGGAGCTCCACAAAGATCTCCTCTCTCTTGAACTCGTACTAAGAGACTTTCGGCGAAGGTCTTTTGCTGACGTCTCAAATCAAGTTCAATAATATACTTGTACCGATATAGTTTATTAGTATCTTATCGAAAATTTCCAACAAATATGTTATGTTATTCATGTAGTTCGTCAGTAACCAACGGTGATGTGTTTAGCATCGCCAATTTTGTACCACCTTTACTCAATGGAACTAGTTATTAAATTAAAGTTGATTTTCTTGAGAATTATACACTTTAATTCTATACCACAAAAAATAATAAAATCACCGTAAAATAATGCATAAGATTCATACAGGTTCAACTTATTGTAAGACTACATTTTCGTTCTTCACTACAAACTTATTTTTTACTGTAGTGAATTATACATTATATTCTTTCTAACCTCTCTTTTTCATGACGATTCAAAACCTTATTAATGACTTCCTTTTATAAATAAAATTAGAACAAAATGGAAATTACAAAAGTATGAAATTTCTAAACTATCTTTGATAAAATTTTGGTTAAGGGTTCCACCACTTGCACCTCCAGGAGGCGGAGGAGCTCCTACCTCATGCCAACCTTTTGGTGGTAACTTTATTGAGAAGGTCGATCCACATACAACTCTATGATTTTGTTTTCAAACGCGATGAATTTACTATTTTCTTTTTTCTAAGGGTACGTTTGATTGACTTCAATCTCATGGAAAATGTCACATCTGAGGATTTTGTTTTGCACTTTGGTTGTTTGATACGAAAGTGGAAATGAAATTCGAATCCTAAGGTACAAACACTTAAAGCATGTTTTTAACTAATTGAGTGGAAAATGCGTTCCTATGATTTTTTTCCCTCCCAACTTACATAGAATTGGTTTGCTTTTTCACCGTTGCAATCAAACGAACCCTAAAATTAATGTACACTTAAGCATGAAATCAGACAATTTATTTTGAAGTAAAGGAAAATATCAAATCCAGAACATCTCTAGAAACTAAGCAGTTGTTTGGTAGGGATGTTAAGCCATTTAAAATCAATTTTTTGACCATTATTTCACTATTTCAACCTTCATTTTTGAATTCTTCTCTTACAGGTAGGATTCACTTTATCTTTAACGATAAAAAAATCAATTAACAAAATCCTCACCAATCAAGCTTTAATAAACACGTTCGATTTCACGTGATGTGTTTTATTCACTCAAACAAAAAATCATCGTTGCATCGGACAATTTGCGGTCAAATTGGTTCAAAAATGGTAGGACCAAATTTTGTATGGTACACTTATCTTTTTCCCCCAACAATTATTGCTCGAGTCTCCCCATGTACGGAGCCCTATCTGCAAAATCATATGGTTTCGTTTGATTAATTGTATTCTATCTGAAAATTATTTGTAACAAAAACATTAACTTCTCGTGACTGTAAATTTGTCATCAATGAACCATTTTCCGACCCAACAAGCCTGCGAGTGATTTAGGATAAGATTTTGGACTATTTTGTTTCTTTATGGTAAATAATACAAGAGGGATAATGTTTGCTCCATACAAGCTGGCTGAGACTTCTATTAAGGAGTCCTCCCCTTTCTTTGCCATTCCATGCTCAAAACTATTTTGATACGAAAAAATTACCCATAGGCAGCATTCGCCCTCGATAGTCTCTATCGAAATACCCTATTGGGATTGCACACGTGTTGTGAACCATAGTTCTTTTAACACCGTGATGGTATGTTCTCTATGCAAATGTGGTAGGCTCATCCATTCAGATCACTGCACTTCAAACTCTGAATCATGCAAGTTAGAATACCTCGATTACTAAGTGGGTAAGAGAGAGAAAACAAAGAGGACGAGTGAACTCGCTTTTCATCCGAAATATCTTGACTTTCTCAATTCAAAATTGAAAACATTGTAATTTAAATGAAAAATCATACTACAAGCACACATAAAATTATACTAAGCCCATGTTTGGTGGCCATTATTCCAAAACACTTTAATTCACGTGCTCATTTTTAAATACGCATTCGTAAAATAAAATAATTTGTACGCAAATTAAAAATTTTCCTTCTATTATAATCATATATTTCAAATATTATTTTTTTCAAATAAAGCTTACCAAAACAGGGTGGCTAAGTTCATAACGAAATTGTTGTTGGGAAGGAGAACATGAGATGAGGTCATGGTTATGGTTATAGAATAATGCTGCTTACATAGAGTTAGTAACAAGAACTTTTGAGAGGTACTGTGTAATTTATTTATTTTTTCTTTTTTATTATTCAATGTTATTCAATAAAATGTTGTCATGTACAGGTACTTCCTTATTTTTTAAAAGATCTGCTACAGAGAAAAGGGAAAGGAACAGGGATTGGGAACAGGATCGAAGTGGCGCGACATCGACCTTGACCCTTGATCTGAAAACTTCAATCTCTTTGTATCAAGTCATTTGTACAGTATTTTTTTCACAGAATTTGACTTGATTACTCTCATTTGTGGAACCCATCGTAAAAAAAAAGAAAAAAGTGCCAAAAAACACCTCCACCCACCCCTCTTATATGTATATTTTGACAGGCTTATATATGGAGCCTGCCTGTATACACAGCAGGACTGAGTCTCTTTAGCATTTCTGATTTTTTAACCCTGTTACGGAACCAGTTATCTTTGGAAACTCAGTTACAGACAGACTGAAGATTGAAGAAACAGAGAGAGAAACTAAAGAAACAGAGAGAGAAACAAAGGGCCTATATATGTCTCATCTAATCAGAGGCAGAGCACTCCCTTTTTCTCAACTTGCAGCAGGTGATCACTTTTTAATTTTTCTTCTTACTTGACGGTTCTCTCTCAACAGATGTCATAATTGCCATTGGCTCATTTGAGTCTCACTCTAATAATACTACTTAGCAACAATCATGCTCACTACCATTTTAGATAATAATACCCACCCCAACTTTGTTAGATGAGATAGGAATGCTTTCACCATCGTCTGAACTGAAAATATTCAATACTATGACTAGTCCCCCTCTCATTTCAATCTCATGCTTGTTAATTATAACTTCGTTTGGTCCCATTCAATTCAAATTTTAATTATTCAAATAGTATTTTTTTTAAAAAAATATGTGATTGAAAAAATAATAATTTTTTTATTTACGTGTAATATTATTTTATAAAAAATTATATGATTAAAAATAAGAGAGAAAAAGAAAAAGAATGAGAATGAGGACCAAACTGAGGCTATGTATGGTAAATCTACCTTTGATATTGGTTTGTAAAGAAAGTCCAAATTGATTATAGAATAAAGCTACTTGTATATAAAAAGTTATATAACGGTTTACATATAAGTGAGGTGTCAAAAAGAAATAGAGATTTTATTATTATTTTTTAGTTGAATTTTTTTTGCTCAAATCATATCTCATCTCATCTCATCATTTGTATACAAATCATTATGTACATGTAATACAATTAATAATTATAACTTAGAATTTGTCTTAGCGATGTAAACTACAATTAGAATCATTACATTTTACCAAAGATTTCAAAATTGCAATCAATAGCAATCTATATTCCCAAAAGTAACCTTATTAGACCGTCTCGTCAACAATGAGGATCATCACCAGAAAGGCACAACTCTACTTATCAATTGTAACAACCATATTATGTTACGTGCACTTCCTATGTTCGACGGTTTGGAGCCCTAACACGAGAATCGCAATAAGGAGAATGTCCACGTCTCAACTCATTTTGAGTCATGGATCATAAGACAGACAACTTATCTCCCTTCATCTGTGTCTTTGATTGAATCATATTCGACCTTTGTTTCGATCAATTATGTAACCTTTAAAATTGACATGGAAAGGAGGGATGTCCAATTGGTTTTACCCTATGAAGCCTAGCGATGTCAATGGGCCGAACCGAGTCGAGCCGGCTCGTCTCGTTACCCTACGAGCTCGGCTCGTGCTCGGGCTCGTTGCCCAACGAGCTCGTGGGCAATGAGCTCGAGCCGAGCTTAGCTCGTAAAAAAAAAAAGGAGCTCGACTCGGAGCTCGGCCTGTGAGCTCCTTTTTTAATTTTTATACACGTTTTCTTTCTAAATATTTTTTAAAAAATACAATTTTGATAAATTTTTATCTTATAAGTATTTTTATTTTGTAAACAATTTATTTAGATAAAATATGTTTTACTAATAACTTATAAGTTATAATTTATAAGTAATTTTAATTATAATGTATTTTTTTATGATTTTATCTTATAAATAATACTTACTTATAACTTATAAGTTTTTTTAATTATAATTTAATTTTTTACTTATAAGTTATAAATAATTTTTAGTTAATATATTTTAATATATTTTAATTTTCAAGTTTATTTTGAAGAAAACATATTGATTGAAAATCATTATTTTATAAATGATAAAATTAAATATGATATGAGAAATTGTAAAATGATTTTTCCAAATATTTTTCCTTTTTAAAATAATAAAATATAAACCCTCCTCATATTTATTTTGCAGTCGAAAATGAGCGTCTTGCCAGTCCTTCACGCACATTAATGCTTCCAAAACAATTTTCTTTTTTTGGACGAGCCACGAGCCCGGGCTCGTGGCTGCTCGTCGAACAGCTCGCTGAGCCGCTCGGCGAGCGGCTCGTCAATCGCCCGGCTCGGCTCGTCAATCAATTCATAGGTTCGACTCGTTACTCGGGCTCGTGGCTCGTTTTAGGCGAGTCGAGCCCACGAGCCCGCGAACTACTCGGGCCCATTGCCACCACTAATGAAGCCTTAAGTATGCTAAATACAACCATAGTCCAGAGTTGTTGACAAAATCAGGAGTACCTCTCACTCCCTTATAGCAAATAGAAATTTTACACTTGTCAAAAGCAGATAAAATGGTTCGGTGGACCCAATTTTTGTTATGCTAGTATAAAACCAAACTCATCATTTTGACCTAATCACCTATGCTTCTACTCATCCACACAGGTGTTTGATGCCATTTAACACCTCCCATCGAAACGTCCCTTTTTAACTTTTTTAACCTGTCATTTATCTACTTTTCAATTTCTTCAATTT